GATTGAGCTCTGGTGGGACTCTTTCCATGTTATCGAGCCCTAGGTGACTTGGTATATTGGAGTATCTCCCAGAAATTTTCGTACACATCTGGACGTCGCGAGGAGTACAGCTTTCTGCATGGCCTTATAAAGATGTTCATTTAGACCCAGCTGTTTTATGTTCGCTAGGAGGTTTTTGGGAATAACACCAGTAGTAGATAGAACAATAGGTAGTGTCTGGGTACTTTCCATTCTCCATATTTCTATTATTATTATTATTATTATTATTGTGTTTTATTACAATTTTTTACCCCACCCTACCACAAATGTGATATATCCAGGCGAATCGAATGTAGTACTGTCCAACCAGAAGTTTCAGAGGCCTCAGATACACAGAAAGAAATCGAAGGGTTATACGTGTATATTAATTACAATAAATTGTTATTATTCTGTTTTATTACAACTGTTTACCCTCTCCTACCATAAATTTGATATGTCCTGGCGAATTTAGTACAGTACAACCAGATGTTTCAGAGACCCTAGATGCATAGAAAGAAATCCAAGGGGTATACAGTCATTCTAGCCGCAGCTGCAGTGTTTTTACGCGCAGCGAAAATATCGTGGTGTTGGAGGTTAATAGATATTCACATTCAAAGAAATTCCTCAAGAAGAAACAAAAAAAGTCAGCAACTTAAGACAAAGTTAATAGAAATTTCAAAAGTCTAATTTTTTATTGATAAGTTAAAAAGTCGAGTCAAAATATAGATTTTGAGTGATGAGTTTTTTATTATACTAAAACATTTTTTAATTGAAGGTGATTACTTTGCAACATCGCACTTAACTAAGCCCTTAACGATAACATTTCAACGAAATCATATTTCACTTATCAATTTTGCAGAGGCGTACCAAAAAAAATTAATTATTTATTTAAACACATAAGTAATTCGAAAGAAAATGCAAAAAAGTATTTTTGAAGTGTGTATATTTTAGGCAATTCCTAGCTGAGCGCTTTCGGCTTTACAAAGCCATCATCAGAGCTATGGTCAATTTTTTAAAATACCACTACAAAGGAGAGATCTCATTTCCTTAAGTTTCACAATTATGATTTTGTAGGAGTTGGAATTTTTAAACATATAAAAGGTCGACACTGGACGTCACAAACACGTTAAAAAATTGAAAAATTTTTTGTCATGGTACGGGTTTAAGACCCGACCATCTATTGATGTGAGGACGTAGACTGAATAGTAGACCTATTCAGTCTACGTCCTCACATCAATAGATGGTCGGGTCTTAAACCCGTACCATGACAAAAAATTTTTCAATTTTTTAACGTGTTTGTGACGTCCAGTGTCGACCTTTTATATGTTTTTTATATGTTTAAAAATTCCAACTCCTACAAAATCATAATTGTGAAACTTAAGGAAATGAGATCTCTCCTTTGTAGTGGTATTTTAAAAAATTGACCATAGCTCTGATGATGGCTTTGTAAAGCCGAAAGCGCTCAGCTAGGAATTGCCTAAAATATACACACTTCAAAAATACTTTTTTGCATTTTCTTTCGACTTGTCATAAGTGTGTACAAAAAATATCAGTCTTTTGATTACATAAGTAATTAATTCAATCTAAGACCGATATAGTTATTAAATTATCATGTGTCTTTTAACAGGTATCTTATTCGCTCCGTGCGTAACCATGGTAGGGGTACCTTGAAACAATGCCAGCGTGCGTATTTACGCATAAATTGTATCAAAAATGGGTGCAAATACATGTTGCGTATTTATTTGTGCAAATAATAGCAAAAATAGTAAGTAGTTTTTATAGGTTTGCAAAATCTTGATTTGTCAGTACTAGATTTTTCCCTTTCTTTTCCGTTTGGGGTTGCAAAGATAAATTATGATGAATTTTTAGAAACCCAGTTTTAAATACCACATTTATTTTGTACATAAACTGAAAAATATAATAAAAAAACTAATTATTCATAATTGTCAATTTCTTATATATTTAACATATTTTTAACCTCAAATTGGGAGGTCCAAAACTCTCAGACGAAGACAATAGGTCAGTCACGCATTTATAGAATTGCTGTCTGCTATTAACGTTATATTTGTTTTGTTTTAACTCGAATTGAATTGATTTAACTATTTATTTAAATACATAAGTAATTACATAAAAATTAAATTTAAGACCGATATAATCATTAAAGTATCATGTGTCTTTCGACTGGTATCTTAAAGTTGTCTAACAAATTAAAGTAAAATTTTAATCTTATTAGAGAGTACCTAATATAGAACTTCAAAAAACAGAAAACTTTGAAAAATACTTATTTTTTCGTAACAATAAAACACTGAAAACTTTGTTTTCAAACTTCCACAAAATTTATTTTAACTATTATCACTACAGCTGTTTCGGCTGATTGCCGAAATTTATTGCCGAACAATTTATAGTCTCTAATGAAATAGGTTGAGGAGGGGAGAACTGTTTGTCTCAAGTTGGTCATTCAGAATTATATCTGTATTTTTTAATTTGTTGATTTCCATAGATTCTAACAAAGATAGCTTAAGGCCTTTATTTTGAATGTGAAGAATTTTAAATTTGTCATTAAAAGAATGATTATGATCTAGAAGGTGAAGTGCGTATGTCGAATCTGTTTTTCTATTATTGAAAGCCCTTTTATGTTCTGCTATTCGTTTATTAAAGTTTCTACCAGTTTGACCGATGTAAGTTTTTGGACACTCGCCACATTGAAGTTTGTACACAGCACTATTTAAGTGTTTTATTTTGGCTCTTGTTATTCAAACTTCAAACTTCGTGTTGTACTAACTTTAATGTGGCGACTGCCCAATATGCCCAATGTGGCGACTGCTCGAAATATGAAATAAAGATGGCACTAACTACTAAAGACTTAATAGCTTTGTTAGAAGAATACTCAGATTGTGAAAATGCTGACTCATTTAAAGTGTTTCATTTGCCGCCGAGATTAGATAAGAATGTGTCTTGTGTAAAAGACATTGCTGATAATATTATTTGTGAAGAATCAATAAAATCGGATATTGCAAGTACATATGAAATACAAGTGATTGGTAATTCTGATTATGATATTCCTCTGAACCACAGATAAAACGTCCAAAGAAAAAACCGGTCAAAAATAGTAGATCCAAATTTGTACTTAAGTTGTAACAACAGATACTTCTTCGTACTGCTTTGTGCTCAGTAGTAATTCAACATCAGTCTGATTGATATTTAGATAATATAAAAGCCAACAATGGAGTCAAGTCATATATTTTAAAGTTTTTTCACTCTTTTTTGATAAAAAAAGCATTCTATATTTAGATAGCATTTCTATCCTGTACATAGAAGCATTTGATAAAGAAGATTGAGAGCATTCTATACTTTTGAAGAACCGTCACGATTTTGAAATAAATAACATAGATTCGTATATTATCTGATTCACACTCTGCTTCAAGTTGATATACATTGGTCAAAAGATGAAGATAAAGAAGTGCACAGTATATGAGAAAGCATTTATAATAGTGAAGAATCGCTACATCAATGTCAAGCTTCGTACATGTACCTCAATCTAAATTTGCTTTACCAGATTTGACAATTGGCCACATTACAAAAAGAGACGATGGTGCAAGAATGTAGGATATGCAAAAGTACTACTATTTATTTATCTAAAAGGTGTAGAATGCATCTACACCCCGAAGGTTTCGAACATTTTCACCTTACAATTTAATTTACATTTAAGATGCAATATGTTCCTGTATTAAAAATTGTACAGTTTTCCTTGAAAATGAGAAAAAAAATCTTTTTTTTTGTAAATTGCAATCCTTTTTTATGTGTTTTTATTCCAACCTAATAAATTAATTGACAAATTTCTCTTTGTATACTGACCGGCCGTTAACGGGTTAATATTATATAAAGAATAAATTTGCCGCAAATTTACTTTACTTACCTCAAAACTATTTTAAAGTTAATAATAAAGTCTATTTAATAAATATATTCCCACGAAATAGAAAACGCTACGCCTATGCACATTAGAATTTGGAACGAATAAACATAAACTAAAATATCATATTTCACTCATTAACATTCTTTCTAAGAACGTAAATATATATAGACCAGCAAAATATTGATATGTTTGTGGATATTTTAAAATATTCAATAAACTTGTCTCACTACACACTCGTGAACCGCACCAATTTATATTGTTACGGGGGAAAATGTTATGAGGACTATATTACTTTTTCGCTTATTTACATGGGCGAAGTATACGCAATAAAAATGACCTCTGTAAGAATTTACTACTGACATTTTACACGGTTGCCGCTACCGTTTAGTTCAATTTGTAGATTAGTCATCTTTAATTGAAATCTGTCCGACTATAACCTTAAGAAAACGATAAAAAATAATAGAAATCGACTGCTTTTCATCTCTTTTTTGAAATTAACTCTCAAATTCAATCGCTTTTTTCCAAACAAATCGATATTTTTGACTTAAGAACTTTTTAATTATCAGTACAGAATTAATATATAAGTTATATTAAATTTTACAAAAAAAATAAAATTCATACAAAACAGATTACTTAAAAAATGCTTACTTCGTTTCTCAGTATAACTATAATTTGACTATAGTTTTGAACGACTTCCTCATTACTTTTCTTCGTGTTGTAAGTAGTTTCATTGTCACTGTCACTCCGAAATTTCTGTCCTCCCAACATCAAAGGTTCCGATTCAGACAAAGCTTTCGCTTCTTGTTGGGAAGATATTGGGCAATACGCATAAACGGGCACTCTAACCTAACCAAGCTTTTATATGACATTTAACATACGCTTAAATGGTGTCAGAGTTGCCAAGTCTCCAGTTTTTTCATACTCTCACATAATATTATACAAATGCATTGAGATCATATAAAAAATCGTAGATTTTAATTAAATTAAAAATAATAATTACATGTATATACTATTTTTATGTGTTTCCAATATTTTTATTTGGTTTATTTTTTAGCTATGGAATTTAAAGTTGAAGTTAAGGAAGGTTTTTTTGAATGTAGTGAAAGCAATGCAGGGAGTCAGTTACACAGATCAATAAATAATATTGAAGCTTGTAGTAAGGATAAACCAGATGACAAACCTGGTAAGATAACTATTAATAAAACTTAGTTAGCGATTTGATTAATTTGTATTTATTAGAAATAGAAATAAAAGCTGAAATTAAGAAAGAACTTGCTCAAGATGAGCAACAATATAATATAGAAAGTCAGCTAACTAAATCCTTTGATCTTGGAGACTTGAAGAATGAACCAGATGAAGATATCTCAGGTGAGTGAAGTAATAAAAAAATATGTAGAGAGATGGTAAATCTTTAATTTAATCTATTATTAATGCACAATTGATTGCAATAAATATTACATTTTACATTTCTTCTTTCTTTTTATGTCCAATCTGAAAATTGGTTTCAAAAAATTATTGATAGAAAATTATTTTAACCTGTAGATGTTCATTAATTGGCACTTTGTAGCAACAAATTTTAAATTGGCTTTTAACTGATTTATATGGTTTGTTATGGGCTGAATCCAACTCATTTTGTCCTAGTATCTCACTTTTCTTCACAAATTGGGTATCAGTTTTTTCCAATAGTTTTTTTTTAGAAACTGTATCTTGTTATAAACTGGTTGCACTTCAGCCAACATTCAAGCAAGTTCATGTTCATGTTCATTCATATATAATTTTGGCTGAATTTTTTTTCGGACTGCCCCATAGACAGAAAAACATTGGAATTTGATGCAACCAGCTAATTGCCTAATCGTGGCCTTCATATTTAAGTTTTTGAAGAATACTTGCCAAGTTTTCATAGATCTTTTTCAAGAACAGAATGTCCAACAAGAATAGAATCGCAATTCCCGTAGAATTCCCGTATTATGTAGATATTTAAGTTCGGCGTCCAGTGACTGTGCACCGGGTGGGCGCCGGACACGGCCACTGGACGCCAAAAGGCGCCGCAACTGAGGCGAGCATTTTGCGACGCCTTCTGCCTTCAGCAACAAAACTACCCTCCAATCTTTCTACGGCTACCCAATCCCAAATATTCTAATCTCGTTCACCCCCAAAACACAAAAATTACTCAACACATCTCATAGGAGTAGCCGACATGTTTACCCTACCTATTACCCTTTTCCATCATACGTCCTGTTTTCAATTCCCACGTAACAGTGGAGGCAGCAGTTACGTGGAAACTCCAAGTAGCCTGTTCACACAGACTGCTACTGCGTCCGGAGGCAACCGTGACAAAAAGCCTAGAGGAGTAAACCTCAATAAAAGATCCCCACTATCACGGTGGAAGGCATCGTGCTAAAGATATGAGAGATGTGAGGGTTAGAGCATCATAAACGATCCCTTCAGGATACCTGGCGACCTCCTGAAGTAATCCAGCCTTAACGCGGTAAGGGCGCACTGCCGTGTCAGACAAATAGCACGTCCCGACTCGTGGGAATTCATATGTATCAAAATAAAACCAACAATGTAAAGATGAAAGGCGAAGACGACCAAATGCAAACGAATAAGGACAACGCTATAGATAAAAACGTAAATGGGGAAGAACAGACGCAAGACGGCAAAATAGAAGAAGAAGAAGAGCAGAGAAAATTTGAACTGGAACTATTGAATTGGCATAGCAAGCAGCCAAAAATGAACAGGTCGGGTGTCCAAAAACACTCGACACTGCTAGGGGAAGAGATTCTAGGGGAAACAAATAGGGAAGAAAAGGAAAAAGAGGAGGGAAACAAAGGAGACGAAGGTTCCTCGGCAGAAACAGTAGAAAATGCGAAGGCAGAAGCCAAAAGAAAAACAGAAAGCCAAGGGGAAGCAGGATGGCAGGACACAGGAGAGAGCATCCTGGCAACTTTCCTGTTCGATGAGGAGGAAAGAATTGAAATGCAACAAGTAAAAAAAAGAAAGGGGGATAATTTGGAGATTAACGAGAAATTTAAGAAAGAGAAATTAGAGGAGAGTAAGAAATACCCCGAAGAAACGGACAAAGAGAGGGTCCAGAGAAAGATAAGGGAGATGCTCGATATCCTGAACATGGATGGATCTATAGAAGAAGAAAGAATTAGAATGAAGAAGCTATTGGGGGAAATAAACACGATTCAAAATAAAACCAGCCAAATCCAAGTGTCAGAAGAAAAGGAATAAGAGGAAAAATGCGAGCAATGCCAATTGAAGATAGAGGAAGGGGACAGAAAAAATAATTGGGATCCTAAACAAAGGAGGAGACTCAGCCGCCTTTAGCCAAATCTATAAAAAGAAATGGGAAGAAAAGGTCTTTGAAAAAACTAAGTGGGAACAGGGGGGCCTACAAGAAACAGTAGAAAAGAAGGAATGCCTAATAATAACGAAAAAAGAAGTAAAAGATGGGGGAATAGAAAGTGTAATAAGAACATATAGGGAAGAAGTCTTTGAACTTATAGAGGGATGCAAAGAGGGGAGTATAGAGTACATCGAAAATGCTAAGAGAAGCTCTATGGCTAGTCAAAAAAACCAGTGGTACACATACGTCACAAAAATAAAAAGACACGGAATGTATGAGATGGCCGAGAAGGCCATCAAGCAGATAAAAGAAAGGGAGAAGCAACCGGAAACGGTCAGAGTAATCGTCAACAACGATATCAACAAAGACGACGTTCGGAAGTCATTAGAATTCGTGGGTCGGGGGGAGAATATTACTTGGGAAATTATAGTAAGAGGAAAGGAAATGGATAAAGGGGTGAAAAACGAACAAGAGGAAGCCCTCCTAATTAAAACGGGAGGAAAAAAGTATACGGAAGTTTTAAAAGAAATGAATCAAAAGATAGATATCGGGAAGATAGGAATAAAAGTGGACAGACTAAAAAAAACAGAAGGAGGAGATATCCTCGTAAAATTAAAAGGGAAGGGAGCCGCGGAAAAATTGAAACAAGAAATGGATACGAGAATGTCTGGTATGAACATGGCCATACGTAAAAAGGAAATCCATTTTACAATAACGGGGTTGGACCCTGGCGTTACAGAGGAGAGGCTACATAGCGCCATAAAGTCATACACAGGTATCCCCAAAGACGAAGTAGATATAAAATCGTTAAGGACCAGTAGGTACGGGGAACAGTTGGCTACTATAGCCGTACCCCCAACAAAAGCCGTACAATTGAGGAAATATAGCTCAATCATTATAGGCTGGGTGTCATGCCCGATCATGGAAAAGCACACGCCCGTAAGATGTTACAAATGCCTCTTATACGGGCACAATACTTATGAGTGCAAGGGGGAAAGCAGGGTAGCATGCTGCTACAACTGCTTTAAAAGTGGTCACACGGCGGTGCAGTGTAGCGGCACTGCGTACTGCCTTACGTGTAAAGAAGAAGGGCATCGCATGGATCGCATGGCATGCCCAGCCTATAGGGCGTGGGTATACGGCAGGGGAGGAGAAAGGGTGCCCCTCAAAAAAAATGTGTAAAAAAAAGAAAAAAGAAAACGAAGAGACGAGAGGTGATCTCTTGGAGAACGAGGGTGAGCCCATATACAGTCCACCAGTGAAACAGGAGACCACCTCTAGCAGAATCTGGTTTAAAATAACCAAGAGGAAGAACAGATTTAACCCATTTTTATTTACTTATATTTATTATAATATATTTTTACTTATTTATTTTTATTTAACGAAATATTTTATTTATACAAACACTTTTTATTTTATTTACATTTTTTATTTAATGAACTATTTTATTTATACTTATATAAATTGTATTTATTTATTTTATTTATCTATTTTATCTATATTTATTTATTTATTTATTTTAGTTCGTAGTTATTTTAACTTATTGACGAGACGTGATTCCGACGCAGTAACGACCTCAGGGAACTGAACCAAAACGGACCTCAAGGATCAACCTGGTATACGGATATTGCAGGTGAACGTGGGCAGAGCGCGCCGGGCGCACGACCTTGTCCACGCAAAGGCCTGCAATCTAGAAACAGCCCTGCTCATCGTCCCAGAACCAAATAAGAAGATTACTTCAGGCGGTGGTTGGGTTCAGGATGACGGAAAAAACGTGGCGGTGCTCATTAGAAACAGGGATGTGGGAGTGCGGAGCATCGTCAGGGGGGGAACCATATCCTCATTAGGTTGAGGGATTTCTGCCTCCTGGCATGTTACATATCTCCCAATATCCCTATGTTAAGGTATAAATCAATCGTAGACGAAATAATGAGCGTCGCCACGAATGAAAATGAAATACTGATCGCCGGGGACATAAATGCGAAATCCATGTTATGGGGTTCCCCCATAAATGACAAAAAAGGGGAACTCTGGAATGAATGGATAGCCCAGGCTGGCCTCCAAGTATTAAACAACGATAAACCAACCTTCGTGAGGGGGGCCAGCCAAACACACATTGATGTCACGATCGCGAGTGAAGGGCTGTCCAGAAGAGTACACGGGTGGGATGTCCTCGACGACCAATTATTCACCTACCACCGGTACATAAAATACGATATAAAGGTAAAAGGGGGAGTAAGGCGGCCGATAGGTCACACGGAAATCTATTTCAATAAAACCGCATACCTATCGGAGGTCAGAAATATCAATGAGGAAGAGATTTCTGACCTTGGTCAACTGAGAAGAGCACTAGAAAACGCTGCAAAGTTGGCCACCGTGAAGAGACAGGAAAATAAAAAATCCCCCTACTGGTGGACGGATGAGATAGAAGGTCTACGGGAAAGATGCCTCAGAGCTCGAAGGAATTACACGAGAAGCCAGGGCAACCTCGAGCTGAAAGAAATATACAAAGATCTAAAGAGAACCCTAAATAAAAAATAAGAGAAGAAAAAAAGAAAAGTGGCAGACCCTGATAAAAGCATTGGAAGATGATATATGGGGCGACGCATATAAAATTACCATGAAGACGTTGAAGGTTATGGCTCCATATAAACTCGACGAGGACCAGCGGATGGAATCAGCTGAACTCCTCTTCCCCACCAAAGAAATCCAAAATTTTATAAAAATCTTTCCAACAATGGTAGAGGAGTTCACAGAAGAAGAAATACGAATTGCTGGTCAGGAAATGAAGACAGGAAAAGCTCCCGGCCCCGACGGGCTGCCACCAGAGGCAATTAAGATTGTAGCAACTGAGAAACCAGGTTTGATCAGAAGAATATGTAACGACTTACTGCAGAAACAATAGTTTCCCAGGGACTTTAAGGAAGCGAACCTAGTTCTACTCCTAAAGCCTGGGAAACCCCCCGGTTCAGCATCCTCTTATCGGCCAATATGCCTCCTGGACTGCCTTGGTAAGTTCTATGAAAGACTTATCAAGAGGAGGCTGGAAGGCGTGTTGGAAGATATGAGAGTGTTATCAAATCAACAGTATGGGTTTCGTAAAGGTAGATCGACAATCGATGCCGCGACATGGATAAGGGACGCGGCAAAAACAAGCAAGAAAAGATGGGTGGTCCTTATTCTGTTGGACATAAAAAATGCATTTAATTCAGCAAATTGGGGCCTTATAGTAGACAAAATCGTCGAATGGGCTCCAGACTATATGTCCAACATAATAAAGGACTACCTATCTAACAGAACCGTATGCATATCGAAAAAAAAGAAGAAAGAGATGACCGCGGGAGTACCCCAGGGGTCAGTCCTGGGACCCTTACTATGGAATATATTATATAACGGGGTACTAGAAACAAACAAGGAGAGTGGAGTAAGAGCGATTGCATACGCGGACGATCTGGCTTTACTAGTCGAAGACGATACGAATTGGGGAATAATAGGAAAAGTAAATAGAGCAATACGAAAGACCGCGGACTGGATAGAAACAAATGACCTAAAGCTAGCAGTAGAGAAGACGGAAGCCATAATCTTGAGGGGACCGAGAAAAAGAAATGATATTTTATTTGAATACAAAGGCTCCGCAATAGTACCCCAAAAGACAGCGAAATACTTGGGTATAATATTTGACGACAGGATTACATTCGGACAACACATACAAGAAGCATGTCGAAAAGCAGAAAAAAGGACCTCCACACTAAATAAACTGATGCCAAATATAGGAGGACCGGGATCCCAAAAAAGGACGGTGATGTTACAATCAATCCTGTCCATAGTGTTATACGGTGCCCCAGTATGGCACGAGGTCCTTCGAATGACAAAGTATAAAGACATGCTTCTTAGGGCTCAAAGAAAACCTCTGATCAGAGTGTGCAGCGCGTACAGAACTGTATCAACCATTGCCTTACAGGTGGTGGCTGGTTCTGTACCGGTGCATATTCTGGCCGGAGAAAGAGTCCGAATGTACCGAAGGGGCAATGGAGCAATAGGTTCAGGACCACAGGAAAGGGCGAGAAGTCTACAGACGTGGCAGAGGGAATGGACAGCCGAAGTCGGGAAGGCGGCCTGGACGAGATACCTGATTCCAGATGTGGTGAGGTGGTACGAATGCCGGCATCGGCGCGTCAACTACTACTTTACACAGTTCTTGACGGGGCATGGATCGTTCAGGAAATTTACCCACCGTATAGGAAAGACCGCGGACGATCTATGTCCCGAGTGTGGAGTGGTGGATGACGCGCAGCATGTTGTGTTCGTTTGCCCTGAATATCATGCGGGGCGCACCGAGCTACAGCTGGGTCTTGGGTATTCTCTAGGCGAGCCTCACGAGTTAATCGATAAAGTTATCGATAGCAAGAGAGACTTCGACCTGGTCATTGATTTTGTTACTAAGACAATCAAACACAAAGAGGAGAAAGAGAGGCGTTTGCAGGCGGGATGACCGATCGTTACTATTTATTTTTTAAACGTGTATATGTCACGTGAGGCAGTCAGCAGGGGAGGACCCTTTACATCCAAACTACGTTGACTGTCCTTATTTTATTTTATTTTATTTATTCTGTTTTATCTATTTATCTATTTATTTATTTATTTATTTACCAATTTTATTTATACATTTTACCGTTTTTACTATAATTTTAGTTGTGCACGTCTTAAGAGACATTCAGTAAAGAAAGGACTTTTACACCCGACTCAGACTGAGTGCCTCTTGTGTTTCTTGTTTTGTTTATGTTTTGATTTATGTTTTCCTTGTTCTACCGTATACGTCCTGAGGCAGTTTAGCGGGGGAGGACCCTTTACACCTAACCTAAGCCAACTACCTCCTTGTTTTAAATGTGAGTTTTGAACGAATGTGTGTATTGAATGAATGAATTGATGAAAGGAAGAATGTTTGGTGTTGCTCGTAACTGCCAACTGGTTCTGTCTTGCTAGTTCCATCATGGAGGGAGGGCATCCTGGTCGCCCGAACCGCGAATGACTTGCGCTGGACGGTCGCTTCATCGACCAGTCTGGCGCGAGGCTTTTGCGGAGGGAGAGGATAGGTGGCCACCAAACCAATGGAATGCACGCGAAAAGTGCCAGAGGGGAGTTAAGAGTAAGGTCGGCGGGTCAGACATGCACGCTAAGTGCGGTTCCAGACCCGTCGGTTGGAGAAAGAGGGGGTGAGTTTAGTCGGTAGGCGGTCTCAGCACGCGGTGAAGCGTGCCGGACTGAATCCGACACACCTGGGACACCTTCCCAGACGGTCTTTTGAAGATTCTCACCTCCCAAAAAAAAAAAAAAAAAAAAAAAAAAATGTCAATAAAGTATATACTTCAAATAAAAACTCACCTTAGTCTTATCAATAATCTCTCTTCTGGTGTTATGCTTGGCCTCCAATTTGTACTTTTTTCACAATTGTATCAGATATTAATTTCAATAAATAATCAAGAGAAATGGAGCCCATTCTTGTAAAATTCTGACACTTTTTTTATCTGCCTTAATTCTAAGAGCAAAGACTGGAGAATTTTTTTAGCAGTTTTTTTCTCATTTATAGGATGCACCCAAAATAGTCTTTTCTTTTGCGTTTGTTCGTCCTGTAGGAGGAACCACTGCCAGAAAACTAGTGCAATTTCGTCGTTATCTGTCGACATCTTTAATAAAACTGATTGAAACATTGTTCCTCTTGAAACAAAATGTTTCTTGTGGAAACAAAAACGTTTTCGTTTCAAACGTTTTTGACAAACAACAGTTTGTCTGTCTTTCTATTTTTTTGCACAGTTTTGCTCTTTCTATGTGCGGCCACCCTAACAGTATGATAAATATTTTTTCCGCAAATCGCCAGGAAATTTTGACATTCCTGTCAAAATTTCTTGAAGAAAAAGTCAGGACTTCCTTACTGTAAGGAAATGTCATTTCCTTACTGTAAGGAAATGATATTTCCGTACAGTTGTTAGTGTTCTACATAAATGATAGAAAACACATTGCTTATAAGGAATTAATTTATATTTTGAAAACATCAAGTCATTGCTGAATACATTTTTAAGATTAATTTGTTATATTTACAGTAATTTGACAGTTAGTACAATTATTGAACATTGGAGGAACACTCTTAGAACTATGAGAAACATTTTGGACAACATGCAGGGTGG